AAAAATATGTATAATGCGATTCACTTCCATCTTAAAAAGATGTACCAGCATGCTTACACATGCAGAATGAGGATTCACAGGAAGGTGGGTTGAGGAGTGGGAAGGAGTGCTGTGCTTTTATATATTTCTATGCTATTTGGTTTTTTCATGAGCTTATATTTCATTTCTAATAAAAACCCAGCCTCACCCATCTAAAATAGATACCTCTGCTCTGTGCACAGAAGAGTTAACACAGTAGGCCTGAGACTGCTATGCTTAAAAAGGCTTGCTTGCAAAGTTGGTCCATGGGTGCAATCTGGCAACTTGGATTTCAGGAGGGTTCTCACCATTCTCTGACAAGAATGGTTTACTGTGCTTAAATTGTCTGTACTAACTGTATGGTTTGTTCTAAGCTCCTGCTTTCCTTTTGAGAATCTAGAATTCAGTACATGCTAGGAAGAAGGTACCTACATGACTGACCTCCAACAAAAACCCTGAAACCTAGGCTCAAGAGGGCTTCCCCAGTAGAAAACACTTCACATACACTGGCACATTTGCTCTGGGGGAATTAAGAGCATCCTGGATGACTCCACTGGGAGAGGACTTCGGGAGTTGTGTGCACGGCTGCCTGCACACTTCACTCCATGCACCTTTTCCTTTTGCTGATTTTGCTTTGCATCCTTTCACTGTGAGACACATCATAGTCATAAGAACAACTATAAGTTGAATACTGTGAGTTTTTCTGGCAAATCACTGAACCCCAGCAGGGACCGTGACACACCTCTATTTTTCTTTTCTATAGCATCCTCTCCTTGACCTTCACAGGCTTTCCAAAATTCACATATTAACTTAACTGTAAGCTCCATGAAGGGTAAGAAGTATGTATATTATTGACCACTACACACCACATAAATTCTCAAGGAAGCTGTTCGATAAAACTAGAGGGAAAAGAAGTTCAGTTACTAATAAATCATGATCTACTGAGAGTCATCTACTAAGCAATGCTCCTTTTTAGATTCTGCAGTCCCTGAAAGACACCAAAATTAAAGACAAAAATCAATTACAATGGCAAGAGCAAACTCTGTATTTGAGGCAAACTCCTCAATTCTCTTTCCCTAGCCCTCACTTGTGTTTTTTTTTATTGTGATTTGGGTGAAGATTTACAGAGCAAATTCACTTTCCATACAGCAGTTCACATACACTTTGTCTCATGTCATGGACCACAGTTTACCACAATGCAACAGCTCCCCTACCACTTCCTCCCCATAGTTACCTCTTCCCAGTGTCCACCCCCTCCATACACTCCTGCCCCCTGAGCTGTCTCCCTGTGCATAAGCAGCCCTTCTTTCTTCCATGATTGTTCTCTCCAAGGAGTGTATCTACTTGAGGTAAATGTTTTAACTCATACGCCTGTATTTTGTTTGGCTGGAAACCACAGGTGTGGGTTCAATTCCAGACCTGAAGGGCAGCTAGAGGCCATAGTCTCAGTGGTTCCACCAGGCTCTATCGGACCAGCAAACCTAGTCTCCACCTTTTTTTTTTCTCTCCAAATGATTTTGAGTTTTGTTCCACATTGTTCTCCCTCTCTATCAAGGATCTTCTACATAGATCCCCTTTCAAGTGGATGACAGTGGTAGCCAGGCACCATCTAGTTCTTCTGGTCTCATAGTCATATAGGCTGCAGATCGGATGGTGTACCAGTGCTAGGACTAATTGTTTCCATGAATTTTGGTTTTCTTCATTCTTCTTTGCTCTGGACGAGGAGAGACCCATCGTTGCACCTAGATGGCAGCTTTCTAGCTTTTAAGATCCCGGTCGCTTCACTTGTGCTCTTACTTGAAAGAAACAACTTCTAATAAGATGGTCAAGCATCCCAGCCTTTACTGGGCCTCTGTGCTTCTTCTCTGATGAATATTCTGAGAGATTCCAAGCAGCCACCTGAATGTACCCACTGACAGGCTCCCTCTGGCTAAGGATGAGGGGACTGCCTCGAAGGAAAATCTCATGGCCTAGGAATTAAAGGCAGGCTTCAGCATGGCCTGAAGGAACATTTTCTGCTTGGTCATGCCCATGTTTCTTAGCTCTCGCGTGGGACGAAGTCTCAACAGAGCAAAGGGAAGGCTCGGGCTTCCTGCAGGTCCTCAGCAGCAGGCTGAGCACATGGATGCCCAGTGACAGTACAGAATTCCTCCACCTACTTCCCAGGGAGGAATCCAAAAAACCAGAACCACTGGCATCAAGTCAATTCTGACTCATAGAGACCCACGGGGTTTCTAAGGTTGTAAATCTCCATGGAAGTCGACTGTCCCATCTTTCTCCTGCCGACCTTTTGGTTAGCAACCCAGAGCCTTAACCACAGTGTCAAGAGAGCTCCTTTTAGGGAGGAATCAGAGGACCTGAAATGGCTTTACAGAGACTTTTTCATTCTGGCCACAACAATGCCCAATGAGACACTCTCTCCCACTATGAATCCAGGCTCTGATAAGCAAAGTTGCCAGAGTTAGTAAATCCCACTCTTTCTCATCTTCCAGGTAAATTTTCTCCCCATCCAGCCTCCTAATGAACATAGAGAGACTAGGCAGCCCTTGGTGCTTTTAACGACCATAAAAGGTGCACAGTTCCAAACGGTGGTGCACTTCATGCATCTGTGCTATTTGAAAGTTTGCTGCACAAGTCTTGTCAAGAAACCATCAATGTAGGTATCTGCTGTTGGGCTTTCAAAAACTTTAAGAGTGGAGGGGCACAGATTTGGGCTTAAAAGGACCCGTCTTCACTTTTCATTCCAGCTGTTGGTGGAAGGCTGCCACAAGAAGCCCAGGCAACAACACCGAATTCCTTCTGGATTTTCAGGAAACCCTGAACCCCGTGGACCTCAGAGGGGCAGAGCCACAGATCTGCACCAGCAGAGACAGCACTGCAGTGGCAGCTTCAAGTGCACCTGGGAAACAGTCCTTGAAGAAACCTTCCTGTTAATATTCCTCATGTCTGGTGCACCCTGGGCCACTGTCAGACCAACAGGAGGCCCCAGGCCTCCTAGTACCCCCTAAGATACACATGGATTCACATAATGAAAAAATATGCTCCCAGGTGCTCAAGCCAATTCCTTCTTCACTCTCCCTGTGGCTAGTGGTTCCCCTCCTACCCTACCTTTGCATCTTAAAATATGAAAACTCTTATTAGCCACCACTGACTAGAGAGCTGGAAACTTGGGAAGCTGAGACGTTAATCTTGTGTTGAACTCCAAAATGATATTTCTGTTTCAATCAAAGAAAACGTGCCTCATTGATGACTAATTCCCTGATGTTCCAGATATCTTGGAGATGGCAATGGGCAGGGGTCTGCCCCTTGCAGCCCATGTGCTGGGACTGACTCCAATCCTCCCTAAAGCTCTTGCTTTAGAGCCACACGATTTAACACGGTTTACTTGGCTTTAAGTCTTTGGGTCCATTTTCCTGGGCGTATTTCTCCATTTCACCCCATTGCATTTATCTAAAGCTTATCACAAAGAGAAATTAATCTGCCATTTCTTCAGTGTTATCAGGCTCCTGCAGTGAGTTCAGCATCATGTGGCCTGGCAGAAAGCCTCCCAAATCCTGGAAAGTTCTGTTCTGGGATTCCTCTGCAGGGCTAAAGCCAGCGACAGCATCTGCACCCACATCCACAGCCTTTTGGGACACTGGGGCCACACCTGTCCTCATTCCTCCTCTCCTTTCACTGTCACTTGTGTGCACATTTACCTGCCACTCACATCCCCCTCAAATATAAGGAACTAGTGGGTAAAATCTTACTCATCTTGGTGGGACACTGGGTGTTGAGGGCAGTGCTTCACAAGGTAAGGGCTTAAAACTCATTTGCTTAGATGCCTTGGTTCCTCTATCCATAAAATGGACACAACATTTGCTATCTTTTTGCTATGCTCATGAGAAGGAAATATCAAAATTTTAGAGACAGTAGAAATTAAGATTTTAAAGTAGTAAATTAAGTATCCCTTAAATTCCACATTCTATTCCGTTTATCTTAACTTTTAGCTTATTGAGCAGTTCTATAGACTTCTGTGATGGTTATGTTTGTGTGTCAACTTGGCTGGGCCTGGTTGAGTGGCTGGGCAGCTGGTGGTAGTTATTCCCCATGATGAGACTGGTGATCAACTCCATGGTGGGATCTACCACAAGCAGCTGAGTAGCTGCCCTTGGGTATGTGGTCTGCTTCTTGTATATAAGGAGAAGCTTTGAGAATGGTCTCTAGCCTATGGCACGCTTGGACCCTGCATGTAGCTGTGTCGTTGCTCAGCAGCCTGCCATGCTCTGCCAACCTTGGGACTTACAATGGACTTAAGTTAACGGCCTGCCTTGTGATTTGGTAACATTGGGACTGTACCTTTTTATCTGTCAACCTTGGGGCTTCTCAGCCTCAGCAGCCAGCGGCTGTCTGAGTGAAGAAAAGCCTCCAGCAGAGCTGGACTCCAAGGTTGAGGGGCTTTCACCCAGCCCCTAGAGCCTGGCACTTTGCACTTGGACTTAAAGCCTCCAAATTGTAAGAATAAACTCCTGTTTGTTAAGGCCATCCCATTTGTGGTATGTTTCCTGTCAGAGTGGCACTAGGTAACCAGAACAACTTCTAAACAAAAATTAAATGCACTGATATCAGGACTTGAAGGGAATTAAGTAATTTTACATCTGCAGCAGGAGATGGAGGAGACATAACACAATGAATGCCAGAAACATTTGTATCTTGACATTCATCCCTGTTTCTCTATCAGATTGTCACCTCTCTCGTTTCCCTTCTCCTCTACTCTCCATTAGCTGGTACCTTTCCCAGTGGTCTCCCTCCTACCTGCAATCTTTTCTCCATCCCAAATGCTTTCAGATGGAATAGCCAACACACACACAGAGTTACTTTCCCCCTAGCCGACATTTTGGCCTTCCCCCTTTGGTAGAATGTGGCCAATACCAGCACCCTCTACCCCCTACCTCTTGCTGGGACATTCTTGCTCTACTTCCCCACTTTCTGGTGTTCTTTACCTTGCTGGCCTTCAGGATGTTGATCTGCTCTTCATACACCGTGTCTCTGTTTTTCTCCAGAAAACCATCTGAATGGTACTCCACCTAGGGCCATGGCAATGGGGAAGAGAAAGAGTTGCTTCTCTAGTACCTAAGTAGTTTCAGCTTAGCTAGGAAGTGTTTTCTAAAGAGTTATGAGTAGACAGGAAACCCACAAATGTTCTCATTTTAACAAACTCAATATGTGATCAGCATTTACACAGAGGGAACTGAGCACTCATTTCGTGGGGAAAACATTGCTTGTTAAAGATGTTCCCATAAGATGGCCTTTAATAGAAAGCTTCCTTAGGGCTCTATAAATGCAGCTCCTCAGCCACACCCACCATGTACTGAAACATAATCTGTATCTTAACAAGAACCCAGATGACTTATTAGTACATTAAAATTTGAGAAGCACTGAGCTAGTGCATATCAAACAGAAATCCGTTTAGAAAAAATTATATATACACAAGTTATTGACAAAGGCACTATTCAAAGATTAACACGTACTCCATGTAATAACTCAAACCATGCACATACTTTGTTTTCACTCCCTCTTCTCTCTCAAGCTCCATGAGGGCAGTATTTAACTGATCTACCTGCTGCCGTACTCTCAGGAGTAGCCCCTGTTTGGCACAAATGGTTAAACACGCCACTACTTGCCAAAAGATTGGTGCTATGAATGCACAAAGAGGCATCTTGAAAGAAGGGCTTCATGATCTGCTTCCAAAAGTTCACAGACTCGAAAACTCTATGGAGTTCTATCCACTCTGCACACATCGGGTCACCATCAGTCAGGATTGACCTAATGGCCACTAATAACAATATATTACCAGGGGAGAGACCCTCAATAAATATTTGCTAAATTCATGATTAGGAAATAGCACACTCCCCTTGCTTTGAGATGGAGTGGGATGGGTAAGAAAGAACAAAAGGAGAACCTATCTAAGAGACTCAGACTACCTGCTTTGAATAGGGTAGCTTCATCTTAGCCAAGAAGCCCTGGAACCTAGATTAAAGTGCAACTGGCAGAGTGCCAAAGCCAGCAAAGAGGTGACCCACCTTATCCGCAAAGTGGGCAACAATGAAGGATGTGTTGGACATGCGTGGTTTTTGGAAGTGCTGCCTGCTGGAATGCCGGTCATAGAGTTTCTGAGTCCAGTTCTGGTCAGTACCTTTGGGCACCTGCAGAAGCAAAAGACAGGGCTTTGTGAAGAGGAAAAAGGGAGTGAAGAGTCATGACAGAGGGATAGAGCCCATCAGTAAGGTGACCCCATGAGGCTGGGTTCATATATCAGAGCCTGGACCCTAACAACTGTGGAAAGAATTACTTAACTGTAGACGTTTGGGATCTTGTCATGGTATTCCCTCAACCTGTCATGCATGGGTCAGCTCCCTTGATGCCTACATGAGTGTGCTGAGCCTCACAAAATCTGCTGATTGGCAGACATTCGAAGTGTTAGGATTGAATGGAGGTAGAGGTCATAGAGTCTCAGCCATGGAACAAATGTGAAGATGCTGCTTCTTCCCTCCAGCCTGGCTACAGATGTCAGTGCCAAGGACACACCTGTCCATTTCCAGTGCCAAGCTTCTGCTCACGCAGGGTAACTACTCCATCAGGAAAACTGGCCTTCTCACTCTCAGCTCATCTGAATACCACTGTACAGGTGAGGCTCAAGTCTGCCCTTCTCTCGGAAGCCTTTTCTGACCACTCTGGCACTTGAGTCCCTCTTTGAACTTGAAACTCTGAATGAAACTCTCATATGCACACACTAATTTTGTTTTCCACTGGTTTTTGTGCATTTTCTGGTCACTACAAACTCTAAGCTTGTTCAGTTCAAGAACTGTATCTTACCTTTCTTGTTTTGTTTTTGTCTTTCTTGCCCCTCAAAGAACTTAGAATTGTATTCTGCTCAAACACTGGACACCTAGTACCTAGTGATTGCTCTACATGGTACAAATCTCTGCCTCCTTCCAAATGCAAATCAAGATTTATAGGTTGTACTACATTAAGAATTCTGAAGGGCAGCCTCACACAATACATTTGTGGAGGGCTTCAAGTGTGAAAAAAAACATCTTGCTTCATTGAAAACAACAATGGACCACTGTAACCACCACTCACAATGTCAAGGACGATGGCAACTCTTCCGATGGGAAGCTCTTCCCCACCTATGTCAGACTTGAACACCATTCCACACATCCATTGATGAAGACAAGTCCATCCCTCAGTCACAAATCACTGATTGACTTGACCTTTATTAATTTAGATAGTACATTTGGATCAGACAGGGTTGAAAATGACCCTTGCAGTAGCCATTTTTCAAAAGGCTTTGCTAAGTAAATTAATGATAAAATATGTGTCATAAGGAAAATGCTTACATGCTGGAGAACATATTTCTTAAACACTTTGTTAGCAAATGGATTTTTCTCAATATTCAAATTTGGTGTAACTAGAATACTCATCGCTAATGCTGCAGGAAATTCAAGGGAAAAAAATCTCTTCTATGAAGGAGGCTATTAATTGTGTTGGGTAGACAAAACAAAACGTTTAATTCAGCATGTATGTGTGTGTATATATATACATATATATATGTTGTTGTTGTTGTTATGTGCCGTCGAGTCAGACCTGACTCATAGCGACCCCTCCTTGGGTTTCCGAGGCAGTATCACTACGGAAGTAGGATTGCCCAACCTTCCTTCCGAGGAGTGGCTAGTGGGTTTGAACCGCCAGCCGTCTGGTTAGCAGTCAAGTGCCTTAGCCACTATGCTACCAGAGCTCCCACATATATATATAGTGCTTTATATTTGTTTCCGAGCACCTTGTGTTTAGAAACACCGTGTGGGAAAGAAGTCTGGAAGGTGGGTCTGTCAGGAGGTGAGGCTGGAGGACAGATAGAATTGGGGCAGAGAGAACTAGAAAGACAGGGCCATGATGGAAATCCCTGTCTGGGCCAACGTGTCTATTTGCTAGAAACAGAAATCATCCTGGCTTGAAAGTGAAATTGGACTTCTGTTGGAAGGTTCCATAATCCACATATTCACTAGTGCAGGTTGGCAGGAAGCCATGAGAAGGGAGAGCAGCAATCAAGGTCAGGTGTGTACATAACTCCTGACAAGGCTCGGTCTCTCCTCACACCCCTCTCCCAGGCTAAAAACAAGGGCCAGCATGAACTCACAGAGCAACGGTTCAAAGCTCAAGCACTAGGCTGCTAATTAAAAGGTAATCAGTTTGAATCCACCCAGTGGCTTGGTGGGAGGAAGACCTGGAGATTTGTTTCTGTAAAGATTACAACCTAGGAAACCCTATGGGGCATATTTGGTCACATGGTGTTGCTATGGCTGGAATCAACAACTCAACAGCACACAACCACTACAAACTCACAACAGACATTAATAGCTAATGCCTATGTGTTGTTCGCTGCTGTCCAGTCAGCCCTGACTCATGGTGACCCCATGTACAACAGGACTGGACCAATGATCCACAGGGTTTTCACTGGCTGAATGCTGGAAGTAGATCACCAGACCTTTCTTCCTAGACTGTCTTAGTCTATAAGCTCCAATGAAACCTGCAACATGCAAGCCCCCACTGACAGATGGGTAGTGACTGCTTGAGGTGCACTGGTGGGGAATCAAACCCGGGCATCCCACATTGTTGTTGCTGTTAGGTGTCGTCAAGTCATATGCATACCAGAACACCATCCGGTCCTGCACCAGCTACATGATCCTTGCTATACTTGAGCCCATCATCGCAGCCACTATGTAAATCCATCTCACTGAGGGCCTTCTCCTCTTTCATCAACCCTCCACCCTACCAAGCATGACATCCTTCTTCAGGGAATGGCTCCCTTCTGACAACATGACCAAAGTAGGTGAGATGAAGTCTGGCCATTCTCATTTCCAAGGAGCATTTCGGCTGCACTTCCTCCAGGACAGATCTATTAGTTCTTTTAGCAGTCTGAGGTACTTTCAGCATTCTTCGCTGGCACTACAACTCAAAAGCATCAATTCTTCTTTGGTCTTCCTTATTCACTGTCCAGCTCTCACATGCATACGAGGCGAATGAAAAGATCATGGCTTGTGTCAGGTGTACCCTAGTCCTCAAGGAGACATCCTTGCTCCTCAGCACTTGAAAGAGGTCCCTTGCAGCCAACTTGCCCAGTGTTTTATATATATCATCTAATGTCCTGACTGTTACTTCCATTGGTGTCGATTGTAGAACCAAGCAATGTGAAGT